ACACACACACACACACACACACACACACACACACACACACACACACACACAACACACACAGTTACCTGTAATAACTCTCACCTGTAATAACTGTGTGGCCGTTGCTCTGTTTTCTGGGTTCTTCACCAAACACTGGCTGACAAAGTCTTGGAAGGACAGAGACCACAGATCTGGGGTCCTGAACGTTGGAGGAGGATTGGTGGGGATCATGAAGATGGCCTGGAAGAGGAGACGAGATTCAGGAGAGGACAAATGAAGAGGAGACGAGATTCAGTAGAACAGAAGAAGAAGTGCATGCAGAGAGAAACACTTAACAATTCTCTTGATCCAAACGTTTCCTCCTCAAAATTCCACGTCAGCTTGTGTCCGTGTGAGAATAACTGAGGCTCAAAATCTCTACACACAGACTCTCTCTCTCACCCTCATGGGATGGATGTCGGCGTAGGGCGGCTTCCCCTCAGCCATCTCTATGGCCGTGATCCCCAGAGACCAGATGTCGGCCACACAGTTGTACCCGATCTCCTGGATGACCTCCGGAGCCATCCAGAACGGCGTGCCGATGACCGTGTTCCTCTTCGCCATGGTGTCCTAAAGGGAGAGATGAATGTTGTTCATCCTTGTTTTCTATCGTCGGTGCAGAACGTTGTGAGATGTAAAAGAGTTCTCCAAGAGCACAAAGACAGGGAACCTGTTTATAGACGTCTCAAAGTCACCCGATTTCTGACGATTGTTGTCGCCGCCATGTTGGGTACAGATGTTACACGTGTAGCGACTAATGCTAACGCTCTTCACCAGCATTGTCACTCATTTACTACAAGGTATGCAGAGTCTCTCAAAGTATTTTCCAGCCACTGAAATCGTCAGAGACTGGCTGACTTTACTCTTCATGTATATGTTATATCGACTTGGTACACTCCTACAGTGTAGCTTATGCATCGGAACGGTGCCTTTAGGATGAGTGCAGTACCACCATTCATCCACCAGATGGTGATCAGACCTTCTGATCACCGAGCAGCAAAGGTAAGATGTTATTAATTGTTACGGCTGTATAAAGTGAAGTTCATTGGTTCAGTGGGTTTGTCTTGGAGTGATCAGTTGGTATCTGTGGAGTCATATCGTCTGTATATTTAGCATTAAGTAGAATAATCGCTAGCACAACTAATCATGCATGTGGTGTTGTTTTTAACTAAGTGAGCATTTAGTTGCTTGGTTGGCGTTCTTTTAGGTAAAAAGTTGTAATCAGGAGCTTTTCCCGTTATCTCTTTAATAAGAGCATCTTCATCTACACTGATTCAGAGTCAGATCTGTTTAAATCTGAACCACTATAACAATCTCACTAGTTAAGATTCCTGCTTCGTTATATGTGTTGTAAAAGTTACATCTGGTTTTATTAATTCTGTTGACATGTATCTATATTTAAACCAAACAAACATTCAGTACACATGATGTCATTATCTAATGTGTCCTCACTGTGAGTTGTCCGGCTACTCCGAAGTCGGCCAGCTTGGCCTGACCCTCTGAGTTCAGCAGGATGTTTCCTGCTTTGATGTCTCTGTGGATTTTCCTCATGAAGTGGAGATACTCCAAACCCTTTAGGGTGGACTGTAGGATGGTGGCGATCTCCTCCTCTGTTATCTACACACACACACACACACAGTAAGTAGCAAAGTATCGTCAAACATCAAAGTACTCAAAATGAGTGCCTACCTCCCTCTTTTTCTATGCAGACAAATAAGACTTACTCACACACATTTCCTCTATACAAACTACGTGCTTAACTATGTGTGTGTGACTGTCTGTCTGTGTGTGTCACTGTCTGTGTGTGTCACTGTCTGTGTCTGACTGTGTGTGTGACTGTCTGTGTGAGTGTGTGTGTGTGACTGTCTGTGTGACTGTGTGTGACTGTGTGTGTGTGTGAGTGTGTGACTGTGTGTGTGAGTGTGTGTGTGTGACTGTGTGAGTGTGTGTGTGTGACTGTCTGTGTGAGTGTGTGACTGTCTGTGTGACTGTGTGACTGTGTGTGTGACTGTCTGTGTGTGTGTGACTGTGTGTGTGTGACTGTGTGTGTGTGTGTGAGTGTGTGACTGTCTGTGCGTGTGTGTGTGACTGTCTGTGTGTGTGTGTGTGTGTGACTGTCTGTGTGTGTGTGTGACTGTGTGTGTGACTGTCTGTGTGACTGTGACTGTGTGTGTGTGTGTGACTGTGTGTGTGTGTGACTGTGTGTGTGTGTGACTGTCTGTGTGGGTGTGTGTGACTGTCTGTGTGGGTGTGTGTGACTGTCTGTGTGGGTGTGACAGTGTGTGTGTGTGACTGTGTGTGTGACTGTGTGTGCGTGTGACTGTGTGTGCGTGTGACTGTGTGTGCGTTACCGTCTTGTTTCGTATCCTGATGATGTCAGACACTGATCCTGCTCCACAGTACTCCATAACGATCCACAGGTCACTGTTCTTGAAGTAGCTGCCGTAGTATCGAACCACATGAGGACTGAACACAGAGACGGAAAGTTAAGTTCATTATTTTGTGAGAAGAAAAAGACAAAAGAAGATATAAAATTCTTACAATACATTCTGCTGATATATATAGATAGATAGATAGATACACATATATATACATACATACATACATACATACATATATATACACATACATATATATATATACACATATATACATATACATACATACATACATACATACATACATACATATATATATATACACATACATACATATATATACACATACATACATATATATACATACATACATATATATACATACATACACATACATACATACACATATATATACATACATACATACATACATATATATACATATATATACATACATACATACATACATATACATACATATATATATATACATACATACATATACATATATATATATACATACATACATATACATACATATATATATATACATACATATACATACATATATATACATATATACATACATATACATACATATATATACATATATACATACATATATATACATATATATACATATATACATACATATATATACATATACATACATACATACATATATATACATATATATATATACATACATACATACATATA